CAGCTCACACCTGAACCCAGGAGGTAGACCCCTTCAATCTGGGGTGGAGAAGAGCAGACAGCCAAGTCCCAGCCCAGGCCGCGACCAGTCCGACCGACCAGCCCCCCGCCCCAGCAAAGTCACGCCCTGGACCACCCCCACACCCTAGCAACGGCCAGGTAAACCCCATTTAAACCATGTTTTCAGCTGTTTCACGCTTTTTTGTTAAGTATATAATTCCACATGTGTTAATTCATAGTTTTGATGCCTTCAATGTGAATCTACAATTTTCATAGTCATGAAAATAATAAAAACTCTTTGAACGAGAAGGTGTGTCCAAACTTTTGGTCTGTACTGTATACTGTATATAGTAAGTAAAGTTTTTTCATATAGCGCCTTTTATAGATAAAATGGGTACAGTTTGCAAAACTATTATTTTGTGGCATTTTTTTCCACAGCGTACCTTCCACAACCCATACTGGGTTTTCTCCACAAACACTTTAATGAATGTTTTGTAATGCGAACAGTACATACAGTGTAAAGTTACAAATCTTTACAGAAAAGGTAAAGAAATTAGTGTTTGCTAGATTATTTCTTGGTTGTAACAATGCTTTTTGGCTATAAATCTTATACCTGCACCTGATTGGTAGCACCTGGAGGTACTAGAAGCTCAGAACAAGAGTCAATAACAGCAAAAAAGGCTGTTTGGCAGAGAAGATTTGACTTTTTCACATGTACAATCCACATACTCAGCTCTGGTGCTCATCCCACAAATGCATGTTCCTTACAAATGTAGCACCATTGAACAGGGAAATTATCCCCTCAATAGTCTTTGTTCCACTGGTGGGCGAAAACGATGAGGTTTCTGTCGTTTCCAGATGCTACCGGGGCCTTTTATTTTGAAAACTAAGGTGTCAGACGACTTTCGGTTCTTACCTTTAGTTTGACACCATTACAAAAAATAAAAAATGTCAAAAGGCTTTTGAGGAATTTCAGGGGCAACTGTTAAGGGCTTTCCAATGATATAAGATTTATGGCGAAGAAGCAGTATTACAACAAAGAAATAATCCACCAAACACTAATATCCTTACTTTTTGTGCTAAAGAGCTCACGTTTTTCCACAACTTTCAAGCTATAAGACTACAAGCTTCTGCAACTCTTGTGAGAAAACTGAGAAGTCCCAAAACCTTGATCTATTTGAATCAGGTGTGCAGAGAAACGGCTAAACCATGCAGGGTGGTGCACCACAGGGACCACTGTTGGGTACCCCTAGTTCTAAGCATCCATTTGTTTGAAGCAGACATTTAATAGTAGAGATCTATAGTCACTGTGTTAAAAGAAAGCAAGCTCAAGTGTCCAAGACCAGCTCTGAAGGTCTGACGAATTGGATTTGTTGTAAGTAAGCCTATGAACAGCAGGGCTTTAACAACACGGTGATCAGGACGGCTGACCTTGTTGACTCAGGTGCAGGACTTGGTGTCGGGGTGGAGCGTCTGGGTCGGGCGATCTCCTCATCTGTGAGAAACATCACAAAGTCGCATCCTCTCTTCTATAACATCTGCATCCATTATGTCCCAAACGACAAGGCTAACAATGTTAAACAGCGTTTTCCTTGTCAGCAGGTTGTGAGTTGGGGTATAAAAAAAAAAAAAACGACTCAAACGAACAGAGTTGTAAAGTAACTAAGTACAAATGCTTCTTTACTGTACTTAAGTAGAATTTTTGGGTATCTGTACTTTACTTGAGTAATTATTTTTCAGCCTACTTTTTACTTCTACTTCTTACATTTTCACACAATTATCTACGACTTTCTACTTCTTACATTTTC